ACTGTGCCATCAAACATTTACGGCAGTAGAAGGCCGCGGTTTCATCTTGTTCACCGGCCATAAGTCTTTAACGTATGCTCTGCATACCAAGTCTGACCGCTACTCACCACGAGAGTGCAGACATTTGGACTATATATCTCACTTCACGACAGACCTTCGTCACATCAAAGGCGAGTCCAGCAATGCTCCTGATGCTCTGTCACGTACTCAGGTGAATGCAGTTACTTTACCGGTGCTCGATCTTCCTGCTGTAGCTGCCGCCCAAGCAAGGGATCCCTCTTGCGCAGAAGCACAACATTCTACATCTCTTCAGTGCCCGGAAGTATCCCTAGCTACTGGCTCAGCTACTATCCTTTGTGATACTTCTACTGGTTTTCCCCGACCCATCATACCCTCCGCTTACCGTCGTCTCATCTTCGATGCCCTACATGGACTCTCTCATTCAGATATCACAGCCACATTACACCTCCTGGCTGCATGTTAAGTCTGGCCGTCCATGAATAAAGATGTCCGTATGTGGGTAGAGCAATACTTACAGTGTCAACGATCAAATTGCACAGGCAAGTAGTTGCCCCATTCACACGTTCGATACGCCTGATGCTCGCTTCGATCACATTCAGATAGACATTGTGGGACAATTGCCATCATCGCATGGGTATGATCACATACTCACACTCATCGATCGTTTTACAAGATGGCCCAAAGCATTCCCATCATGTCTATCACGGCGAAGACAGTTGCTCACGTTTCGTAGAATGATGGATAGCGCTGTACGGTTGTACTTCGACTGTCACGACCGACCGAGGACAACAATTCGAGTCCGGATTGTTCTTCTCGCTGACCTGACTGTTTGGCACGGAACACATACGCACTACCGCTCACCACCCAGCATCATTTGGTTTAGTTGAACGGTCTCATCGTCAACTTAAAGGTGCTCTTCGAGCACAAGAAAACATCAATTAGTACGAAACCTTACCGCTCGTCCTTAAAGGCGGATATTCAATGTTCCGCCGCTGAACTTGTACACGGCACGACATTGCGTCTGCCTGTGGAATTTTTCACATCACGGAGCAGTAACAACTTTGGTAAATCAGACTACGTCTAACGACTGTCTGAATTTATGCGAACACCGCTTCCGGTGTCAACTGGAATACAACATCGACAGGTCGCTCTCCCTTGAGAGTTATCTAACTGTTCACACGTTTTCACTCGAGTAGATTTGGTGCGCAAACCTTTGCGGTAGCGTTACGAAGGATCTTTTCACATGACTTCTCGTCACGAAAAGACCTTCAAGGTTGATGGACATGGCCGCATCAAGATCGTCAGCATTGATCGTCTCACACCAGCACACATTGATGACAGTGACCTACCTGATAAGTTGAGACTCAATGTTAGACCCGTCAAACCTACTAGCGAAATCTCTACATCTACTTCAGATCCCACGCCACATACATCAGGGACCTCATTCTCACTTCCCAGTCAATAGCGCGTGTCGTCTGCACCATCTATGGACGAGACTTCGGTCTCACGTTCAGATCAGCAGACCACGCCGCCCTTGACTTCGGGTGCGATCGCAGGTTCATGAAGTACGAACGAGACTAGCGTTTCACGTTCCAGTCGCCGAGTACGCCTACCCGTACACTTTCGCGCTAATCACCCAATCAACAACGAATACGGCATAGGACTCTCAACCTATACTACATGCATGCTACACCTTTTCTCTTTTTCCTTGATTTTTTTTATCCTGAGCCCATCGCCCGTTCGGTACCGTCGACTTCAGTCAACCTTGGCGAAAGCTGGCCTGATCACTCACGCTCTCGTCAAGGCAATCAGTCGATTTTCTTGTTCCGAATATGTCTGGAATACATTTGGACTCGCACTTGGTTGTTATGGTCGCTTCTGATTTATTGACTAAACGTGGTTTCGTCCTACGTCAGCAGCGTTTCTGGTCCGAACCCCTACGGACGCGATCTTCAGACCTTGGATATAAACCACTCTGGTGTGGTATGCTAACTCGAACAACAAATACAGCACGTTTCTCGTGGTACCGTTTTAAGTGAAAGAATTTCACCGCCAACTCTTTCATCCTACAATCGAACGTTTGTTGATCAGTCCCACGAACGAAACCGCCACGTATCGAAATTGTAAACCCTTTCTAGCGGGGAGCTACTGTAGTGACCTGCTTTTATGAAGAGAACGCGATTGGTGTAATGGAAGCAATTATTGTTAAAACCAATTGTACCAGTGATTGTTTTACTGTAACTGTTTGTTTAACTGCACTAAAACCATACCTTCTTTCGTTAACTGTGACATCGCACGCTTTCGTTTACGCTACGTAGTCCCGCTTGTACTATTTGGCACGATCTCGGTATTATTTCGATACCACGAAATTGCTAAAAATATATTGTATTACGACATTCATTTGTCTTTTAGTTTTGGTCTACGAAGGGGTCAAACCTAATATCTGGTACGTAATCTTCCTATAGTAGTGATCATAGTCAATCGCGACTCGATGCCTACTACAAGTCAAAGCGATTGGAGATACAAACTTCACAAAAGATGTTTCGGTTCGTTTTTGAGAACTAGAATCTAAACATGATGTATATGTTTCAAGAATTATGTGAGAATGGTCCCAGGTCATCACTATCGGATGCTTACCCAGATAAAAATGAGTTATTCCCTGATTATTTCAACAAATGGCACACAATGGAGATGCTTTTCTTGCAGAAATAGTCAGATAATCCTTGTCAACGTCCGACTGATGCTCTGTCCTATGAACGTCCTGTCTTCAAACGACTAAATGGTTCTGTTATTGAAAAAATTAACGGCACCTTGTGAATTCCATCCTAGGCTAATGAGTGGACTAACATTGTCAATGAAGTTGGTGTATTGGGACGGTTGAAGTTTGTCTGCTCATACCGAGGTTGGATTTTGTAACGCTTGTCCAACCATTTCAGTCGATTTCTCAGTTTTGTTTCACACTGACATGCAGACATGTTTATCGTTCCTAAAGTAGCGAGCATTAGGTGCGTGCAAACAATAAATGTTGATGATGTTTATCAGTTTAATTAACTCGCGAACTTTTCTATAACGTATTAGATAATGAAAGCTGTAAGGTCGGTGAACTGTCACTTTGACCTAGTCATCCGGCAGTCGGGTTGCTGAATATTGAACAGTTCACCGATCCTCGTCAAGGGTGAGGAAAATCAGCGCGTATTATTAGTTGCACGCCGTGGACTGGCGGGCATGAGTCGGTGGTTGCCCTTTTCTTCTTGTACGCCCATCAATATATTCCTGTAGTAACGTTGTTGGTATCGTACGGTCATTAAAGTAGTCATAGTACTTGGTTACAATGAAAAGGTGGTCCACGTTGGGCAGTAATCTGAAAGTGTAACTGTAAGGTAAGCTGGTTGGTCTCGCCTGTTCCGTTCAACGCAAGTAGGCATCCAGACCATGATTACAGATCGCCTACGTTGGAGACCTTCGTTGGTAAACCCGACGTGATCAACACAACCATTTATCTGTTCAATTATTTGTGAATCAGGAATATTGAAACCACAAGCGCGTTTGTTTATTTTTTAGTTTCAGAATTTAGTGAATATGTTTACCAACCACAAAAGATAGCATATTGAGACGTCGAGAAACATGTTTTCGCACGTTAAACTTCGAACAATCAGTTTGCGCTATCATGAAGTAGCCGAAGTCATGGATCTAGTCTAGTTTGGAGTAACCACCAAATGGAAGAACCATTTTACATAGCTTGCTGTTAAGATAAAAGTACTGAAACATAAGTTTGTGGTTGTTTACTGTCTTATTTCATGTAAGCAGTGAACTTCCTACTTTCGTCTTCTGATTAATACGCGACTCACGTGTTTGTCAACCACAACTACTTGTTTCTCAACTTGCTCTCCATAAAACATTCAGACAGACGATGGAATTGGGCGTTCCTGATTTTTTCCAACGGAAATTCGCGGTTATTACAACAAGTGAATGGCTACAGAAACAGTTTGATACGATCAAATAAAGTTGTGGTATCCAGATTGCTGGAATTTCGTGCTCATAAACCCTACGTATTGTGAACCGACAAGTTGAGCGACGATCCGGTAATAGCAATGATGCTTAAAACTCATAAAATACCTGTACAAATTTACTTCCAAGCCTGTTTGGTGTCTAAATGCTTGGTATAATCAAGGCCATGCGATAACTAGTAGATACATCCTAAACGAATACAAACTAATCACTTGTCAAAAGGGAAAGAGATAATTTGAACACAGCCGAAATTACTTGCAACGGTTTTTGACCTAACCCACCTTTAGTTTTCAGCTTTCCAATGAACTGGGTCCCAGAAAACTTTAAACGCAAAATAAGAGGCAAAAGTCATTTACTCTGTAAATGAGGATACCTTCTTCCATGAGTAGGTATAATTGCGGTCTAAATCGGTATTCGTACGTTTATCTTTGTTACTTTAATAATAAGCCTAAACCCACACTTGTAGATTTGTCATGATGTGACTGCTTGTTATATAAGACCTTGCGTGGAAGTCACATCATTGTCTATTCTGACCTGTCGTATCGTGAAAATCTGCAAGTAGTGAATTACTGAAATTCTCTCCAAGAACACAACTATCTATGCTGACTGACTAACCGTTCCCACTTAGTGGTATCAGAATGACTTGTACCAACTGTTCTAACTGGTTATGAATATTTTTTCGATCACTTATTTCTAGAGGTATATTACTTAATCTAGAAAATTGAACCATTTTGAACCATTTGAACACCTTAAAAACAAACGAACCAGGAGAAACGCATACACTTGAGCATGGCTCATGGCACCTTCTGTTGATATATTCAAAACGAGTTTGAACCTCCACAGTGTTACAAACTGCAAGGAATAATATAGGTCGATAGACCTCCTATCCTTATTACTGAAGACTGAATCATTTAATCCAGATCGGAGTTTGTAGGTCATACGCGCGATGATTTGAGATCATGACGGTACGTGCACGCTATGCGATGGCTTTGGCTATTTTTTAACATTTCGGTTTGCATACTTGTGTAAATATCTTTGAATCCTGAAAGCCGTACTTATGAAGCTAAACGGTCCATCCGATTTTCATGATTTAAATTTTGTTTATTAATTGGATTAACTAGGATTATTCCAATTAAGTGGTAATGTCCATCAGTGGAGTTTGAGTACGTATCTATAGAAAAGTAGTGCATTACATAACGTATGAATAACACTAAGTGGTTTTTGTGTTCTGTACCGAAAGACTCCAAGATGCTATCGTGTTTTAGTATTTAAAATGAGCGATTTATTTGTCATTGTAGCGATACAGAATGAGACCTCGTCAATAATATAAACTTAACGTTTTACCGAAAGTTAGTGCAAGAAGTTCGAACTCGTGATGAAAAACTACATCTTTTGGTATTGTGGAGGTTTTTCACACTTTGTGAAAATATAAATTAATACTTCAGTCCTGTTGAACTTCAGGAGCCTCTGACAACAGTAGAATGTTAGTGAAGCATTCCAGTTTAATGTTTTCATCCAATGTACTTTGGAGTCTAGCCCCGTCAATTTTAATCCAGTATTACAGTTTGTGGCTTCTTCATTATCACAAATTCCAAGGTTTTTTAGAGGGAGAGCCTTGCTACTTCACAAAAATCTCTAAGCAGCATGTCGCTTTGTTTTTCACAGCATACGAAGCAGTCTATGTAGATGCTCTCTAACGAGAAATACAATTTGTAGTAAAACTGTCGTTTGTTCAAGCTTCATGTTACAGCAGTTGCGAGCCAAAAATTACTTGAGCTTTACCTTTCCTTTAAATCCTTTCATAAGGTTCATATACTGCTCTTATCGAACATCAAAATGGCGTCACCTTAATTTGTGATTAGATATTGTGTAGTGTGTTAGTGTTGCTGTTCTAGGATCCAGCAATTCGGTGTGATCAAACGTTATGTAGCATAAAAAAACCCAGTCTGGTTATCTCTTCTATGGTGTCAAACAAGGGCGTTGCTTTACTTATGACTGACTGAGTAGAGGTGTTGAGTGGTTATCGACCATCGGATTCAAGATGTACTGATCTGATATTGTTAAGGCTGTTTGTTCTAAGTACCTAACAATATGTCCTATATTAGTCTTTGCGTAATACAATTGCGTTCACACAGAATGGTAAAAGTTTCAGTTATTACTAGGTCCATCATGGCCATTTCTTGCCTTACCGTCTCTGCCTATTTTAACTTTGCAAAATCACAAAATTAATTGAAAGCCAAGTTGCCAATCTACACATTCAACCACTGTCCGTCTTCGATTTTCACAGTTCAATGGAGACTAGTTCTAAGAAAAAGTGATCTGATTTCAGGTATATCACTCAACTTGGTAAGTAAATCACCCATCACTACTGTATGTAGTATTTCTTTATTATGTCTGTTAAATGTCAGGTAATTTAAATTATCATGTAAGTTAAGATTACTCATTAGTATTTTGCAAAAGTAAATCGCCATGGTAATTATGGTATTTTCTCAAACGATATACAACTCATGAAGTCAGCGTTTTCATTTATCTGCATTATGCAAGGGTTTTTCATTTCATGTTAGCAGCTACTTTTCGTCCGATTTTGCTGGCAAGTCGGTTTTCTTTTTACTCGTCGATTATCAGACCAAAATCTCGTGATTGTTTCTTGAAACTCAATACACTTAACGGCCCCCCTGAATGCCCTGGTACGGCCGAGAGTGGGGAGAGTCCGCTCTCCCTCTCGAAATACTCTCACACGGCCACGCGTATACAGCCTCTGCCAGGGAAGTCCTACTCATTGCCTTCTCGTGGCGGGGGTGTTGTTTACGAAAATGAGAGGACGAAAAGCGAATGTCCGGCGCTTTAACCGGATTCCAAATCAATGGTGCACATGGGCTCCAGTATCCTGCGGGAACGAATGGCGTATGAACCAATCGTTGGTCACCGGCTACCATGGGACTGCATCTCCTTACGATGCTCCACTGCCTTGTGGGTTAGACCTTTAGGTCAAAGGCTCGGGGAGTGGCCCCCTAAGATAACCACCTGCTTCGGTTTGGGCACCCGGGCAGTATCACAGCCCACACACAAATTGATGAACTCTTTATGCCTACGGAAATTACCTTTCTTGCTTTGAAAAACAAACAATTGATTCAGATTATTATCATTACAATTATTGTCATTATTAATACTGTTATTATTATTACTAGTATTATTGTCATTATTGTTATTATTATCATTATTATTATTATTTTCCACATTACTCACCCTCTTTTATACTTATACAGCGGCTCGTCTTTGGCGGAAATCCGACTGTATCTATACGTTCTCGAGTCACTGTCCGGTTGAAAATTGTATGTTACCACCGAATACGAGGACTGAAGCAGATTTTCTGAAACCACGTGCACCATTCAAACTGGCTGCCTTCAACGTTCGCACATTTATGCAGGTCGGACAACAGATAGGGCTGGCTATGTCTTTGGAAAGTCTTAATATCGACGTGTGTTGTCTATCCGAGACCCGTATTCAAGACTCTGGCGAAGTACTACAAATTCGATCTCCATCTGTCGCTTCGAAAAGCTTGTTTTACGTGCGCTTATCCGGGGACCCTGTGGCATCTTCGTCTGGTCTTGCTGGCGTTGGTGTCGCACTAAGCGCTAGAGCTGAGGCAGCACTAGTCGATTGGATCCCCATTAACAGTCGGTTATGTGCTGTTAGATTAGAAAGTTCCATCAAAGTGAGAAGAAATCGGCGTGAGAAACGATGTCTTTTCGTCATCTCCGCCTATGCCCCGACAGATTGCAGCCCGGATGCAATCAAGGATGAGTTTTACCACCAGTTATCAGTTCTTCTCCAGAAAGTGCGTTCGACAGATATTGTAGTACTAGCCGGAGACTTGAATGCTCAGGTCGGGCGTCTAGGCACAGAAGAGAGTCGTTTAGGTGGCCGATGGGGACTCGTTGGTCGCAGGTCAGATAACGGGGACCGTCTACTGCAACTTTGCACAGACCACAACCTGTTTCTGGCTAGCACTAACTTTCGGCACAGTCATCGCCGATGTGCCACCTGGCGTCCTCCCTCTGCATCTCAAGCCTGGACTCAGATTGATCACATCGCGATCAGCTACCGCTGGCGTGGTTGTGTAAAGACTGCCGCTCCTTTTGGAGTACCTATCTGGACTCTGACCATGCCTTGGTCTGCGCCAATCTTGCCTTACTTTTCAGTGGACAACGAAGTGAACGCCATCAACGGATTGATGTTAGCAAGCTGGTTGCAACTTCTGTTGCAAGTAAGTATCGAACCGAGCTAGCCTCTAGGCTAGCTACCACTCCACCGAAAAGTATAGATGAGCATTGGTTGCAATTGCATGACGCCATGAAAATGGCGGGAACAGTCAGTTGTGGGTTTGCGAAACGTCCCGCTTTAAGCACTGGGTTTCTTCTGGTTCCTTACAACTCATTGAAGCCCGTCGGTCTACTCCGGGTGACCGTGAGTTTGACCATAAACGAAGGATGTTACGTAAGGAAATTGGGCAAAGCTTGCGTAAGGACCGAGAAGCCTGGTGGTCGATGCGTGCTAATGAGCTGGAAGCAGCAGCTGCATCTGGTAACTACCGGAAGCTCTTCCAGCTCATCCGAGCCACTGGCAGCAAGAAGTCTGGTGTGAGTGAAACAATCTGCGAGGATGATGGGATGCCAATCACTAACATCCATCGACGTCTTGGACGATGGGCAGAATTTTTCGAAGGGCAGTTCAACTGGCCTGCTGCTCCGGCAACATCGGTCAGACTGTCCTGCCCTCCATGGCCGGTGACGACTGATCCACCAAATGAGGAGGAAGTCCGCAAGGAACTCCAACTCTTGAAGCGTTACAAATCACCTGGCCCAGATGACTTACCTCCGGCTCTTTTTAAAGATGGTGGTGACTTTTTGACTAAGGAATTGACGACGTTGTTTACAAAGGTTTGGGAACTAGAGTGTGTACCAACGTCATGGAATGAGTCGATAGTTGTCCCTATCTTTAAAAAGGGTTCACGTCGTTCTTGTAACAACTATCGGGGGATAAGTTTACTTCCGATTGCGTCCAAGCTATTGGCTTCCGTCATTCTTCGTAGGTTGTTCAAAACCCGAGAAAGATTGACTCGCGAGGAGCAGGCTGGGTTTCGTTCTGGTCGAGGATGTATTGATCATATCTTCACCCTCCGCCAAATGTTAGAACACCGCCATACTTTTCAAAGGCCAACAATCGTAGTGTTTCTTGACATCAGGGCTGCCTTCGATTCGTTGGACAGGACTGTTCTCTGGGATTGTCTATTGAAGAAGGGTGTGCCTGAGAAGTTTATTAACATCCTGAAAGCCCTGTATAAAAACACCTCAGGCAGAGTGAGGGCATACAACCACCTCTCTCCATTGTTCCATTCGAGCAGTGGGGTTAGGCAGGGTTGCCCAATCTCACCATTCCTCTTCAACTTTGCCATCGATGACATTCTGGAAACAGCTCTGATGAATGTAAGTAATGGTGGTGTGGATCTGTTGCCTGGAGAAAGACTTCTCGACCTTGAGTATGCGGACGATATTGTCTTACTGTGCGATAATGCCCAAGGCATGCAATCCGCACTTAATCAGTTGGCAATCAGTGTCCGTAGGTATGGTATGTGCTTTGCACCTTCGAAGTGCAAAGTACTTCTACAAGACTGGCAGGATTCTAATCCTGTACTCACCCTGGACGGTGAGCAGATAGACGTAGTTGAGAAGTTCGTGTATCTGGGTAGCTGCATAAGTGCTGGTGGGGGTGTGAGTGATGAGATCAATGCACGAATAGTGAAAGCCAGAGCGGCTTATGCCAATCTGGGCCACCTTTGGCGCCTTCGTGATGTTAGTCTGGCTGTAAAAGGTCGGATCTACAACGCGTCGGTGAGAGCAGTTTTGCTCTATGCTTGTGAAACCTGGCCTCTCCGAGTTGAGGACGTTAGACGACTCTCTGTGTTCGATCATCGCTGTCTCCGAAGGATTGCTGACATTCAGTGGCAACACCATGTCAGTAATGCAGAGGTTCGGCATCGTGTGTTCGGGCACAGAGATGATAACTCAATTGGTGTCACCATCTTGAAACACCGACTTCGGTGGCTTGGACATGTTCTCCGAATGTCGTCCCAGAGAATTCCACGTCGTGCATTATTTGCCGACTCTGGGACTGGTTGGAAGAGGCGGAGAGGTGGTCAGTGCATGACATGGTGTCGTGGCATGAAAGAAAGCTGCAAAGGACTGGCTTGTGTTGGTCCTTCACGACTCCCTGGTTGGGGTCCGAGAGATGGTGCTACACAGTGGCTAGAGACGTTATCAGATATGGCTCAGAATAGAAGCCAGTGGCGATCCTGCTGTAACCTTCTTTTACTTTCTTTCTAAAAAGTGGTTGTGTCTCCTTTACCTGAAAGATTTCTTCTGATTGTACCTTTTCGTTCCGTCGTTACTACCACACTACCTTACTCCAATCTCTTCGTCATTGTTCTCTTTTTCTTTTGCGTTCCCTAGTTTTTTTTTTCTTTCTATTTCTCTTCGAATTTTCATTGTTTTGTGTGGCGCATATATATTGGCGCTCTCTTGTACCAATATTTATGTGTTCAAATAAATAATAATAATAAATACACTTAACGTTTATAAACACTTCGAAAAACTCCATGTTATACAACCAAGGGGGTGGTATATTATTCCATTCATTATAAAACGCAATATCATATTTTGCGTGTCTAACTCTAACTGATTCCAGTTGGATCACATGAACTGGTTGTTTGAATTTATTAACTAAATGCAAAGAACACCATTCAGTATAACAGTCAAAATAAAGTTAAAAATCCAATGATAACGTAACTGACTTATCAATCGGAAATAAGTTTTTATGTTACGAAAGCACCACTCATGGCAAGTTTTATTTTTATTTAAACGCGGATACTGGTATAAGGAGGCACCAAATATATATACGCCACACATCATTCGATTCGTGTGAGAGCTGGGATATTTCCCAAAGTAGGTAAGTAAATCACACAGGATAAATATACTTTTGATCCGTTGATTTGATTGTAATATTTTCACTAAAAATATTTCATCTCGTAGTATACATTTTTATGATGCCTTTTTTCTTTGCAGAAGGTCTATATTCTGTATGAGCATGCGTTAGGATATGCGCTGTTCCGAGTTAAAGTCAAATCACTAGAAACTTCAGATGCCGTTGCTGCGTTACAACAGTTAGCTGCAGATCTGTTAAACGATGAAGAAGAGTTTATGAAATGTTTTAAACTGCACGCATTTGTGCCTTTCTCCTCCTCAGCTAGTGCTCTACAAAATTGTAATGGGATATCAGAAGGTGTTGTTCCACAGGAACTTAAAACGTTCATAGAAGAGAATTTACCTGCTTCTTCCGATGTTTTGCTGTGTATCTCAGACCGGAAACTTGCTGAATCTCTTAAAGCGCCTGAAGTTGGATTGCCTGAAACTATTGCATGTTCATCTGAATCCATTCTTCATGAAGTCTTTCGGGCTCTCCGATTTTACTTTCCTAAATACATTAAAGAATTTTCGCATTTCGATGAATCAAAAGCTCAAATAGGTTTGGGTCATAGTTACTCTAGAGCCAAAGTGAAATTTAATATATACAGGTCTGTTTATTTTTATCCTTTATTTATCTATTTGTTTAGAAACGACAATATGATTATTCAGTCCATAAATTTACTGGACCAATTAGATAAAGATGTGAATAACTTTTGCATGCGTGTCAAAGAATGGTTCTCTTATCATTTCCCAGAATTGTCAAAAATTGTTCCTGACAATCCAACTTTTGTTAAAGTAGTCGGTCTTATTCGTACCCGAGCTGGTGCAACAGAAGAAAATTTTGAAGCATTGGAAGCTTTAACTAATAGTCAAGTTGCTTCAGATATCATTGAATCTGCTAAATCATCCGTTGGTATGTTGACATTGTGTTTCTGATTTTAATTCCATGTAGGCTTTGATATTACGGATGATGATGCTGAGAATTTGGCAACATTCACTGAAAAAATTAATGCATTAATTGAACGTAGAAGACTAACACAAGAGTATTTAGCAAAGAAACTTGCTGGTGTTGCCCCAAACTTGAGCACAATGATTGGGGACAGAGTAAGTGCAAGGCTAATTGCTCATGCGGGATCCCTTACGAACTTGGCTAAATTCCCTGCCTCGACAATTCAGATATTGGGGGCGGAAAAAGCGTTATTCAGAGCATTACGAACTCGTGGTGCTACACCAAAGTATGGATTGATTTATCATAGTCAATTTATCACTCGTGCTGCTCGAGAAAATAAGGGGAAGATCTCTAGATTTTTGGCTGCCAAATGTGCTATAGCCTCTCGAATCGACTGCTTTAGTGAAGTGCTTTGTGATATCTATGGAAAACATTTGAAGCAACAAATTGAGGATAGATTGAATTATTTTGAGACTGGCACTACGCCCCCTACAAATGCTGAAGCTATGGCGCGCGCAATTGCTGAGGTTAGTGTACTAGTCTTTAATTATTTATTCAACTGTTAGTTAATCTTACCTCCCTTGATGTAGCAAACAGAAAGTTTACTTTGAGCACGTTGATCAAGCGTTACTCATTTATTTACTTACTAAATTTCGTAGAATATAAACTTTTAGTTTCACGCATTAATCCATAAAAAATTCTAAGAATCATCAACAAAACGAAAATGTCCGTACTGTTGAATAATCCATTTTGCTCGACGTGTTTCTTTCTACAGTTGCCGGAATAACTGTCCAACTCTAAAAGTTTGGTTAGCTTCTACCAACCCGTATCACCTATAGCGTAGGCAAGTTGTCTGTCTGCATATTAAAAGACGACTATACTGCTCAGCAATTCGTTCTGTTCTACTTTTCTGTTGTGAAACGTAACTTTTAAAAGTTGATGTAGCTCAGAATCGGTGAAGTGGGTCAGAATAGTTCAGTATGTGTCTTCTATTATATTTCAAGTTGTAAAATTATCTTATAGTTCTTGTTTCTTGTCCCACGGATTCATTCTTGAAAGATATTACCAACCACTCATACTGTCACTACTTCTCTGGCATTTTTCCTGTTGATATGGTGTTGCAGCTTGAACCGGTCCACATATTTGTCAGTTCTTACTTGGCGGATATCTCTCTCAGGCTACAAGTGGCCCAAGTTAACACAAGCCAATTGGTCCCTTTGAATCCGTGCCAAGATTTCGTCAGAACTAATGAGATTTCCAATATAATTGAGACTATTGATACGCTCAACTACTTTACTCTCGATCATTATTTCAGGCCCTGACAAAAGTCAATCCGAAAACTATTTTATATTTGGAAAGAGAGAACTACATCCCAAACATGCTTGCATTTTTGCTTAAAGTAGTCATAACACAACATTTTGTTAGCGTTTTCACCAGACTAAACTATGCCCTCTGTGTATCCTAAGCCAACAAATGAATCTTCTAGTAGAAGATCAATCCGTGAAAAGTTAGACAATAAGCATGCCTATGGCAAAGTTAAATGAGGGAAACGAACAATCCTGACGAACACTTGAATTAACCAATTCTGATGACAGTAACTGTGGTGTGGCTGAAAGCCTGTTGAACTGTTCCCTAAAAAGTCCTCCCCCTCAGTTGAATCTCTTGAATTGAGAGTGAATAATAGTCCCATCTTTTTCCGAGATAGTTTCACTAACAGCCGGATTTTTAATAGCCCTTTCCTTGATAAGTCAGAACAGTTGTCTACTGCTACCTATCGCTTCTACCTTTTCCACCTCTGCTTTCGCTACCCACCGCTGCTCACGATCATTGCGTAGGCTTTTTATTAGCATACGTTTAAGCTGTATCCACTTCTCATTGCGCCTAGAGTCAGAAGGGATACGTTTCTTGACACATCAGTTCAGTGGATGCCCCTCGTACAGAACCAGTCTTAAAATGTACTGAAAACAAGAAAAACTGAATCATTACAACTCTTTAGGTCATAGTTGTTGTGTTTTCGCTTTCACTACAAGACCTGAATTTACTGACTTTTTTCCGTACAATTATCACGTTGTCAACTGACACTCAACTTGAATTCCCACTTCTCCAAATCCATCAGAAAATCAGAGTAGACTGGTCACAAATATCTTCATTGTAGGTGCGCACTTCTGAGGAGTCTCACGTTGGGACGAAACGACTGTCCTTTATTTGTTGGTTTTCAATGGTTTTCCGACTGAGATCAACCTGTGACGAATACAACCTACAAATTAAATCAATCTCCACAAGACTCCTTAAAGTAAGCAATAGTGACTCTATGCTCATTTGTGACTATCTTTATAAGGAGCCCCCTAAAGTTATAGTGAAAGTTAACGGCGGTGGAGTTATACTATATAAGAAGTGTGAGAGAGCTGTCATCAACGAACTGGCATGTTAGTTGCATTCTGTTACTAACTGATTAAAGCTGAAACTGTAAACCTCGTGGTGTTCCAATTCAGACATCTATAAGCATCATGCTCATCGTGGAACTCGGAGATTCTGGATTACCGGAAATGTTGAGAACTCTAGGAATTGAAGAGAAAGATAGCTTTTTCACACTATATAGTTATCAATAGTTGTCTCATTGACTTTTTATGTCCTTAATGAACGTTAATGTCAACGTTCCAAAATTATTGCATAACTTTGATTCTAATAATCATCTATTGTCTATCAATATTAATGTGTAGGATCTGATGTTCAGTAGAGTGCTTTGTTGAACAATTTTATATTCTATGCTTAAAATTAATATTCAGATGATTCAGTCCCTATCCACTTTTTCCTTTGGATATTTTTTTTATCAAGGTGAATAAATATATTCAACGAATGAAGAAAAAAGCTATCAAAACACTGAATAAAAGAGATTCAGATAGTCAAGAAGAAGAAGAAGCAGCTGTCACAACACTTGAAACACCTATATTAGATAGTAAGAAGAAACGTAAGAAAAAGCGTAATTTAATAAATGAGAACATCACCACTACTACTACTACTGTTGTGGATGGTGTTTCCAATGATCCGAATGAAATAATGAATCATGATGAAGGAGAACAACAACAACGACAAACAACTGAAATGAATCAACATCAACTGCTAAATGATGATAAAGAAGAGAAAAGTACAACAATGAAGAAAAAGAAAAAACGTCATCATTCAGAATCAATTGATATTATTGATAATTCAATGTTAACAAATGGTGATCATATTTGTATAGAAACAATTGAAACACCAATATTATCTAAACGTAAACGATCAGCTTCTGAATCCAGTATACTATTAGAGGATATAAAATCGGATAGTTTAAAAAAGAAGAAAAGAAAAAAACATCCTATATGATGTGATTGGATTAAGTTACATTTAGCTGTGTAAAAGACAATCAGCTCAATTTTTGACTATTTATTGTAAATAGTAACATTATTGGTTATTTTTTGGTTGTTGTTGTGGAATATAAAATGTATTATGAATCTCCTATTCTTCTATCTCTACACAAATCTCATTCGATATGTATGAGGGCTGTGATACTGCCCAGGTGCCCAAACCGAAGCAGGTGGTTTTCTTAGGGGGCGGCCACCCCCGAGCCTTCAACCTGAAGGTCCGATCTACAAGGCAGTGGAGCATCGTAAGGAGATGTAGTCACATGGAAGCCGGTGACCAACAATTGGTTCATACGCCATTTGTTCCCGCAGGATACTGGAGCCCATGTGCACCATTGGTTTGGAATCCTGTTAAAGCGCCGGACATTCGGTTTTCGTCCTCCCATTTTCGTAAACAACAACCCCGCCACGAGAAGTTAGTGAGTAGGACTTCCCTGGCATAGGCTTTATACGCGTGGCTGTGTGAGAGAATTTGGAGAGGGAGAGCGGACTCTCCCCACTCTCGGCCGTACCAGGGCATTTGGGGGCTTTACATTGATTACATAATAATAATAATGCACCTGGATATTTGTCACATTCTACCATACATCTGACTGTCAGTAGTCTTAATGAACGTCGGACGTGGTACAAATATATGTTAACATACAAGTTACTATAATTTACTAATTAATTGCCTCCAAATACCCTGGTATGGCCGAGTGTGGGGAGAGTCAGCTCGCTCTCTCCAAATGCTCTCACATGGCCACATGCATACAACAATTGCTAGAGAAGTCCTACTTATTGCCTTCTCGTGGTGGGGGTGCTGTTTACGAAATTGAGAGGACGAAAAGCGAATGTCCGGTAGGTTAGTCGAGTTGGTGGATATGGAGGATCCACTTAGGGTCGTTGGAAAACACGGGTTTCAAATCGATGGTGCACATGGGCTCCAAGATCTTGAAACAACAAAAGGCGTATGAACCAATTATTGGTGACTGACTACCATGGGACTGTATCTCCTACCGTTGCTCCACTGCCTTGTAGATCAGACATTTAGGTCGAAGGCTCCGAGTGTGATACCGTAAGAAAACCACCTGCTTCGGTCTGGGCACCCGGGCAGTATCACAGCCCACACACAAACCAAGTGACTTGTGTGGCGCATATGTATTTGGTACCTGCTTGGAATGACGAAATCGACAAAATGAGTCGAAATAACCTCATAATAACAATAATAGTGAGAAAGTTTAAATATTAATCATATAGTTTAAAAAGACGAAGTGAGAAGAATGTATGTATGAAGGAATATTGGTACTAAAGAAACTAGGAGAGAAATAAAGATGGAATGTATATGTATACCATTGTGACCAGTTGCGAGCGATGTCACTCAATATCTGCAATCACTGATTTCAGTAATCATGAAGATACTAACCAGATAATCTGGATTTATAAACATTCCTTAGTTTAGCAGTTTGCCTGTATTGCTGCTTAGCGAAATTCAAATAGGATATGAAGTGGATTTAGTTAGTAGTGAATGAACTTATCAATACCAATTGTCACCTTTGGAAATAAGACTGGTCTGATACAACAGATTGGAAAGCATTAAGAAAAATAAGGTTTATTAACAAATACTATTAGGTTACTGTTATATCGTATAGCCGTATTAGTAATATAACGTGATGATACCGCCAATTAGAGAACAGTGATTTGTCGACCGGGGCAATGACGCGTAAACCTGTACGAGCAGTCTAGAGTCTCTATCGATTCTTCCTGCCTCCCAGCCTCCGCGATATGAATCATGTATTTCAAACATACTGGATTTGTATACAAACCAAACAGACCACATCGTACTATAACATAGCCATAGCCAAAAGTGGCTGTGAATGTGAAAGACTGTAATTAATAGACTGGACATAACTCGACTGTAAATTGTATAATAGTAGTCTATGGATCAAATTAAAGCTTGTAATAAGGGTTTTTATTTTATTCTATTTGAACACATAGATATTGGTGCATAAGGGCATCAAATACATAGGCGCCAAACAGGTCACTTGATTTGTGTATGTGGGCCGTGATACTGCCCGTGTTCCCAGACCGAAGCAGGTGGTCTCCTTAGGGGGCCACACCCGGAGCCTTCGACCTAACAGTAGTGGAGCAACAGTAGAAGGTGAAAGCCCATGTGCACCATTGATTTGGAACCAGAGTTTTCCAACTGCCCTAAGTGAATCCTCCATATCCACCAACCTGGTTAAAGTGCTGGACATTTGCTTTTCATAAACAACAGTAATGCCGTGAGAAGGCATTGGTTGTATGCACCTAGTCATGTGAGAGCATTTGTAGAGGGAGAGCTGACTCTCCCTATCCTCGGCCGTACCAGGGCATTTGGGGGCCACCTTAGCAATTCAACATAGTGTTTTAAATGTTACTAATTCAGCGAAACGATTAGAAGCTATGCCATTTTGTCTGTTGACTCATTTTAAAGTATTGTGAAACATTGATTATATACAAACTATCAATTAAATACCGAGCTATTACACTATTTAAAGCTGTTACACTTCTCATTTTGCGAATTTTTTAGAATATACTCGGAAATTATAAACATGTAATCTTCTCTGCTTCTGTTTCAATTCGCCTTAATTTTTTTACTCAATGGACGATGTATGTTCGCTAGGACCGAATGAGGGTTATGAATTAGTGTAATTTACAGTTGATGATCAAGATTTACGAATTAGGTATAGGGTTTTCATCGCTAATTGACATCAGCTATAATGCCAAAATGGTATCTAGCTAAATGGTTGAGTGAATTTTGCGTCAAAATTCGAGACTTGTTATCTTATACCTGATTGGTTCGTCCAAAAATTATAGTCTCCCCTCATGAGTTTAATTCCACAAACAATATTGAAATTCATAAAAAATTTGTAAGGTCGGCTCATAGGCGAACTCGATGAAACTTTAAGAAGCTCAGAAAGAGCCGAAGATATACCATCCAATTATCTTTTGGAAGAACATTTCAAAATCTTGGTATATAGCTTCCCTATTAGGTAAGATGCGTCTTGGATGACTATGGTGATGATTTTGCTTTTACTGAAAACTATAAATACCTGAGAGTTTTGTACCATATTGAACATTGTAGGAATAACATTCCTTCTCATTTATCTTCTGTCTTCTCATTTGCGACTTGAAGGGTTCTAGCATTCAAGTGCTCAGATTGTACGCGGTATATCAAAAATCTGTGCTATAGATACAACAAATTTTATGAAAAGCATGGAATTCTGTTTTAAGTTTACAAATAAAGCTCTGTGGTTCATTCGATTTGAAAGTTTATGTGCAAGGAATTCCATGCTTTTTATAAAATTATTATGGATTTCAATATTGTCAGAATGAGGGTTTGTTGAAATTGTAGTAATTTAGTGGTTGAATTTTGATAGAGTTGTTTTCTCTGAGCTGGATGGTTTGGTCGTGGAGCTTTCATCGTTCTTCTGAACGACATCATCAGCACAAACTTCAGATAAAAGTGAAGTGTTCTAATTTCTCCATATGCGTTTCACAGCTTGTTCTGTACACCTTGACGTTGAATTTCATATTTCAAAAACAAAAAAAAAATGTAATAGAATCGACATTGAAATTCAATTTAAGTATTTATGTTAACAATTTTCAAATCTAAATCCTGCACTCATCCTGGGTAGTGAGCAGATAGAAGTAGTCGAGAAGTTCGTATATCTGGGTAGCTGCATAAGTGCTGGTGGTGGCGTGAGTGGTGAGGTCGATTCACGTATAATGAAAGCCAGAGTGGATTATGCTAATCTGGACAATCTTTGGCGCCTTCATGATATTAGTCTGGCTACAAAAGGTCGGATCTACAATGCGTCGGTGAGAGCAGTTTTGCTATATGCTTGTGAAATCTGGCCTCTCCGAGTTGAAAATGTTAGACGACTCTGTGCTTGATCATCGTTGTTTTCGAAGGATTGCTGACATCCAGTGGCAACACCATGTTAGTAATGCAGAGGTTTGGTATAGTGTGTTCGGGCGCAGAGCCGATAATCCAATTGGTGTCACCATCTTGAACTCCACCTATAGCTCTTCTAGAGTTACTGCCGGTCTCAAGCCCGAGTAAAGGAGGAGGGTTGGGCATGGGGTTAGCGTCCCCATCCCGTAGGAAACTAACTCGCCAAAAAAAACGCTAACCAGAAAAAATATTTCAAACCATTTTAAATCTGCCCTGATAGTTAGAAGGTCTTCATTTAGAAGAATTATGACGCTTCATGGTGAAAGCCGAGTTCTTTCGGAAGCCACGAGGCCGATGCCCCTTCTAACAACCAGAGCAACAATTTTTATAGGTACATGGAAGGTCCGAACAATGTGGGAGAGCGCGAAGACCAGTCAAATAGCAACGGAAATGAGGAGATACAAATTAGAAGTACTGGGAATCAGCTTAACCCACTAGACCCAAGCTGTACAGAAAAGGCTTAATACGGGAGAGATGATGCTATACTCCTGTCACGAAGAGGAATATGCTCCGCAGACTCAGGTAGTCACTCCAATGCTGTCCAAAGTAGCACGAAATGCACTTGTAGGATGGGAATCTCACGGATCCAGAATCATCAAAGCATCATTCAAAACAAAGAAGGAGGGGATCACAATGAATATTATCCAATGTTATGCACCCACTAATGATAGCAACGACGACATTAAAGATCAATTCTACGAGCGGCTGCAGTCAATCATTGAGAAATGCTCAAGAAAGGACCTAACTATTCTGATGGGAGATCTAAATGCCAAAGTCGGAATAGACAACACTGGATATGAAGATATTATGGGACGACATGGACTAGGTGAAAGAAACGAAAATGGAGAAAGATTTGCAAATCTGTGTGCATTCAACAAATTGGTCATAGGAGGCACAATATTTCCACACAAGCGTATACACAAGGCTACATGGATCTCACCGGACCACACTACAGAGAACCAAATAGATCATATTTGCATCAACAAAAAATTCCGAAGGACAATGGAAGATGTGAGAACCAGGAGAGGTGCTGACGTAGCTTCAGATCACCACCTAGTTGTAGCCAATTTAAAACTGAAGCTGAAAAAGAACTGGACAAGTGGACAAAC